AAAAGACGTAGCGCAGAGGACAACAAGCTTCAGCCTCTGAAGACAGCTGGCGCAAAAGCTTTTCTTAGCCGCCAGAAAAAGACAAACCTAGCATAGACTTTCTAGCCTCCTTAGTCACTAAGAAAATGAGCTGAGCCTCGGGGAGCCGCTCATAGTGCTAGTAATAATGGCATGAAGGAATATTCCTTCCTTCTGCAAGAAGTCTAGCAATAATAGAGGAAAGGATAAGAATGCGATGGGGCCCAATGAGCACCCGGTTCTATCCTCTTCTTCTATATATTCGCTAGAACTTAGCTCTTGCAAGACATCGGTAGACAAACACCAGAGTCTTACTTGAGCAAGAAACTATCTTTGTTTACTCGCTCTAGTTGCAGAAACCTTTGTAAGCATTTTAAACTTTCTCTAGTTCTTTGTGTTTACTATTCTATTCGCTTTCCATTCAAATCTTCCGCTCTCCATTCTGATACCAGGTCTAGTTGAAGTAATCAAGTTGCAGATGATAAATCTGAAGATTTATCCTGGTAATCAAGTTGCTTTCAAAATATGTATTGGCTCACCTGAGTCAGATGATAAATCAAGTGACCTCCTCCTACAGTACCAACAAGAATTGGATAAGATCACAGCCGGAACACGTGGAGGACTTTCACTCAACAAAATGGGATTATCAGAAAGAAGGCTTCGAGCAATCCAGAAAGAAGCCTCCAGACAAGCGGTCAGTGCCTACCTCAACTTGCTATATCCCTAATGAAATAGTCAAAATAATTGTCAACCTCCTCCTTACCAGTGGCTCCACTAGAATGAGATAAGTCGTAAAGAGTGTCCATGCTGGAAAGCTTTGTTGATGCCTGATATAGTTTAGAAGCTAATAAGCAAGATCAGCCGTACCGAAGCATACCGCCCGTACCGGGCGGTACGTACCGATCCGACAGGTTACCGATACGTGGACCGCCCGGTACCGCTACAGTGCTACAGTACTATACTGTAGCACTGCTACACTACTACAATATGAAAAAAAAAAAAATATTCGATACACCAGGGTGTATCGCTTTGATGTACCGCCCGGTACACCGGTACCATACCGAGCCCGGGTCGAAACACCGGTATGGTACGGTACAGCGAACCTTGCTAATAAGTACGTGAACTTATATAGAGAACAATCAAATAACTTACATCTCCAACATTGAAAGGCAACTTGCCTGTTCCTTTGACTCTGCAGTATTGGGTCGCACATCAATATCACCACTTTGCACACATTCTCCATCTCCAGATGTCTTTAAAAGGATTGATTGTTCAGCATGAAATGATTGTTGAGCTGCATTTATTTCAGAGTGAGTAGCCTCTGGTTGGTTGCAGCCAAAGCAGAGTGTCGAGGCACAGAATGATTCCTTGACTCCCAAGTTCTTTGTCATCATGTTATGAATTAGCTTTCGGTCTAAAGCTATCAACAGGTCCTAATTACATGAAAATTTACACTTAAAGAGCAGGGTATTCAAAATAAATTAATCTTGATATTTAAAAGTTAATTCAATTTATAACACAACCAGGAATACCAGTCGTCTTCATGTGACCAATAGGAAAATCCAAGCTAAAGCACATGTCTGCATCCTGAAGCAATAAGATTTTACTAATAGCATTAATGCATTTAGTAAATGTGAAATCTCTAACATAAATAACCTTTACCTGATATATGTTTCCTTGATTTTGCTGGAAATTCTCCACATATTTACCTTCAGATTCTACGGGTTCTGCAAGTGTGGACTTCGGTTGCCCAACAGATTCTCGCATGGAATGGTGGTCACAGGCCACACTATAGGAATTGGAGACACAAGGTTGAAGATATGGGTGCTCCATATCAAGGTTTGAATCAGCATCCAGAGCCACAAGCTCGAGAGGAGGAGCATGCAGGGTAGCATCAGAAGTTTTGGGGGCTGTGGAGTTAACCTTAACAGGTTTTGCACGAGCTTTAGGTCGGAATTTGCCCAATTTTCGGTCTGCTAGGATCCACAGTAGCACTTCAGCATTGAAAATAACAAGACAAATTTGAGCAAATAAAAAAGTTTGGAGATAGCAATAACCTGGGGAAGAAGCTGGGTGATGAAAAATGTCATCGGCAGGATCCAATTCATCAAACATAGCTTCTGCATGAAGGTTGTCCCAAATCATACCATAAGGAATTCTTATAATATCATAAACTCTGCAATTAATTGGGACAAAACTTATATTCTGCACAACAAATTATCGATCATAAAGCCTCAACCAAATGTAAGACGAGTATATGCCAAGCCCTAACCCGTTAAACAAAGATTGAGAAACCAAGAATATTGCTGTACTTGTACAAAAATAAATGAATAATTTTTCTTCCGCAGGTGCAGGGGGTGAATGAGTAGAAAGAAGAGGACTTTAGTTTTCATTTGCATTATTGTGTTTTAAAGGTGTAACTTTAGTCTTGTGTTAACATTCCATACTGATGCCAAGAGTTAGTCTGATAGGGTTTAGGGGTTTAGGGTTTATGGTTTAGGGATTTGGGGTTTAACATTTAGGGTTTATGGTTTAGGTTTTAGTTATACCTTTATATTAATGCTAATTCACAAACTTTTCATGTCGTCTTGTGGTTATTTTTTTTGGAAAAATTTGTTGATTGTATGTAGGTATTGTGGAACTCTTTGTGCTTGGACTCCATACTGCATTATTTTTGTAAGTTTTCATTTGCATTTTTTTGTTTTAAATGTGTAACATCAGTCTTGTTTTAACATTCCATAATGATGGCGAGTTGGTGTAATAGGGTTTAGGGATTTAAGGGGTTAGGAGGTTAGGGGTTTAGGGGTTAGGGGTTAGTGGTTTAAGCTTTACGATTTTAGGGCTTGAGGGTTTTAGGAGTTAAAGGTTTAGGGGTTTTCAGTTTAAAGGTTTAGGGTTGAGAGAGTAGTGCACCTGTGAGAGCTCGCGTGGGTGGTGATATTTATATGCCAACATGGGGAGGTTGGCAAGACGAGGGGATAAAAAATTAGTACAGGATTAAGTAAGTTGTAAATTGTAAGCATGTGAGTGTGAGAGAATGGAACTTCTTCTATGCTAAACTAGAAGTGCTACATTATATCTCACACCGACATATTAATCAATCATTATATACAATGAATACATTATATATTTATAAACTAAGCAAATACTGTTCTTTTATTTTAAAATCATTATTTTGACCAAAACCCAATAAAATTTTATTTATTAGGGGTCGGGTCACCTTGTAGTTGGATCGTAACAAGTTTGACTAGTCTCGATCCGATTTAGATCGCTCTAATTGGACTGACTCTTATTTCGATTAGTACGTCAGACTTGACCCGTATCTAGCTTATATCGGACAAGACCTCGGACCAAATCAGGTTGGATCCGATCCATTCATAGGTTATTCCGCCTCTTGTCCTCGTCACCACTTCTCTCCACTTGTCTACCCTACAAGCGAAGAATTCAAGAACTTGATACTTTTCCTTCGGTCGATTCCCTCGCCTCCTTTTCTTCCATTGCTAAACAGAGAAAGGATATATTATTATTTCAAAACCCTAATTTTGGTCATCTTAGTCGAAGCTCCGGTGGTCATGGCTTGCCGTCTCTCTCGGTAAGTCTTCTGCCCTCATTCTGTTGTTGTTATTGTTCCATCTCAATGTACGTACAGTAGTGTAAAGAAATCTTTCTTTAATATTTATCATTGAATTCTTCCTTTGGTTTTGGATCTCTCCTTCAGAGACTAAACATGCAGAACTTGTCGAACGATTAACTTGCTCGTGCCTTTGTTCCGAACTATAGGTGATCAAATTCAATCTTCAATTTTTGGCCCTACTTCTTGGTTAACATTCCTTTTCCTCTTTTCTTTTGCTTGAGAGACCACTTTCTACGTACTTGTTCGCTCTATTGCTTTGTTTCCACTCTTTCATGCTAACCACAGTGAGCGACGAGGTAATTGAGTCGGCGGCAAAGCGTAGGGGAGGAGATTGTTGGAGGCATTTGGCATAACCGTTGTGGTCCTTCAATTTTGTTTCCTCATCCTCTTACCCTCCTTTTTTCTCCTCTTGTTGTTTTTCATCTTCTCCCTTTGTTTTTATAAATCCATTTTCTTCATATTTCTCTGATGTGATCAGTTAATCCCTAGAAACTATGGTTTATGTGTTGGACCTAGCAGATTCTGAAGACAATGATATTCTCTTGCATGCTCGAAAATTTTAGGGTTTCAACATCATCCTCCGCCCAATGCTTTATTCTAATAATATTATTTAAATAATATTAGAATATATAAATAATTAAAATTTTAAAAATTCATCGAGGCTATTTTTTAAATAGATTACTTTTTTCTTCTTTTTTATCTTTGACCTAATGGTTTGTAAACAACAAAATTAATGAGATATAAAATGTTTAATAAATTTCCATATAATGTCCCGCCTATTTGGTACAAAAATGACCCAAAAATAATTAAATAATATATAAATTCTAAATATTAAGAATAATCAAAATTTCAAAATTAGACAAGGCCACATTTGGCAACGTAAATGGTTGGCATCCTCCTGTTCATAATAGGCTGATTACATTTCTTTATTGGAAAAATATATAAAATCTTAACAAATTTTATGCTCTTATTACTGCAAAATTTTCATATGGTAATGACGAAGAAAATATAAGTATGATTAAATTTTTATAGGAATTATTAAAATATTTTTAAATATTAATAATCATGATCAGAATTAAGAAAGCAGAACAGACATCATATAGATAAAAAAATACTGCAGAACATAATAAACTAGACTTCTAAAACGAAACTAACAACTACAAGTAATCATACAAAATAAGAATCAAACTTGCACTAACTATTATATATATGCTCACGAATAACTAATAATCCATTGGAAGAAATATCTTGAAAGAGAAATTTATAAAATAAAACAAGACAAAATGAGAAAGAAATCTACGATCTAAAGTTCACCTTCATCTAAGGAAAAGAAGAAGAATGATGAGAAGCTATGATCCAATTAACTCAGATGATTTATTTGTCATCAAACTCTACCATGAAGAATTAGTCCATGGATCTTTCGATCCCTTGAAAGAAAAATCCATAGAAAAATGAAAGGAAGAGAGATTGAGAAACCCAAATCACAACATTGGTATGCGACTTAAGGTTTCATCAAAAGACAATTGACGAATTTGGCAAACATTATGGCAAAAGGTGGCGACAGAGTTCTTGACATCGTCGAATCGCTATCATGCCAACTCTTAGTTGGTCGACATGGTTGTGATCCTCATGTTAAACCAAATGGAAGTAGACATCAAAGCACGAACCCTATAATATATGAATTTTCAATTCGTAGAAAGAAAATCCTTAGTAAATGAAAGGGAGAAAGATTGAGTGTTTAGGAACACAGGTTGTAGAAGAAGACCTAGATGCGACTAAGAACAAAGACTCCTTCCCCTCTCCACCCTGAATTCTATAACTTTCTCACATTCACGAATAGACATCTCACACAGATGTGGGTTGGCTTGATTTGACCCGAGTCTGACTCCGCTCAAACCAGAATAAAATAACACACTTAATTTCATAATTTAGGGTTTAAAATTTTTGGATCTAATTTGAATTAATTGAAATAACCTGAAAATTTAGATTATCTATTTAATATTTTGAAGTTGAAATATAAGAAATTTAGGATCATAATTGTTTCTAAACATAGATTTAAATAAATACCAATCACATGTATTCTTTGACATAAAATTTATTCACAAGGTTTAAGGTTTAAGTACTAATTTGGATTTAGGGGTTAGCGATTTGGGTTTTAGGGATTAACTTGTAACAGCCTTAACAATCTTGATTTTAACTACTCCCTTCTTGAATTTGCAAATCACTTGAGGAGAAGAGGATATAGAATCATGTCTACCTTAGAGAAGCTGGATGAAAGCATTGATTACTTTGATCAACTCGCCAACAACATAATCCTTTCCATCCTTTCCAAGATTCCACTTCAGTATTTTGGTGGGCAATTTGACTGCCTCTCTTGTCGAGTTGCACGTTGCCTCCTGAATTCGCTATTTCCAAACATGCCCTTCAAAATTTTTGCCCATAAAAAAATAAAATATAAAGAGAAAAATAGTTCAGCCTGATAGCCCTAAGAAATGCATGGGAAAGAAGGTAAGATTTACCCTGAAAGAAGTGATCCAAAAATGTATTTGTCCTAAAGTTTCAAGGTATGTCCAACCAAAGATTTTACCCACCCAATAGTGAAATCCTGCAAATAAAGCAGAAACGGTTCCCATAGAAAGTACATAATGAAAATGTGCAACTACATAATAAGTATCATGTAGAGCAATGTCTAGCCCTGAATTTGCTAGAACTATTCCAGTGAGCCTTCCTACTGTGAACAAAAAGATGGACCCTACAGCAAAATAGTCACATTGGAAATATGTATAATCATAAAAATGCTCTCCGAAAATGAGTCATAAAAGACACATCAAGTTATAGTCACCAATCTATACAACTTGTCATATTAAACTACAATCATATCAATCTTTAACATGACAAAAAATTATAGTTTTCTGTCTCTACTGCACATCTTTGAAATGTTTGAAGGTTGTAATTGTAATCCAATATTGATGCTGCAACAAAGACTACGAGGAGAGCATGGTCAAAGGCCAGACAGGTGAGGTTCCAGACAGATCCTAAGAAAAATAGGAAAACCAAGATTGGTTATCAAGAGCACCGTCCAATATGGCAGAGACCCTCGAAGAGCCATATCGTTTGTTACTCTGGGTATAACGATTGCCGTGAAAACCCCCATTGTTAAAGATAAAGTTCTGAAAATCAACAACAGAAAGCGAATGATGGAAGAGTCTACCTCAAGTTTTGTCCTCAGCAAAAGTCATTGCATTCAGATCACAACATAAAAACCAAGAAAAACAAGAAGAGTCAATGTCCACGAGTAAGCTTGTGTACACAGCATACATGAAGAGGAGTAGCCGACTAGACGCTTCTTATCAGGCAAACTGGCACTATTTTGTACCATTACTAACATATGCAACATTTTGCATCTAGTCAAGGGTGCAGACAAATGTTCACAGATGTAGTACTTCAGTAATCCGTGATAGGATCAACATATGTTGTTGTAATCAAGGTTATTAAGAGAGTTACGAGTTAAAAGAAAAATAATAAATATAATTACACATTATCACGTATGAATAAATAATAATGAGCAAACCCTAAACATATGAATAAATGTGATAATGCGTAGTTATATTTACTAAATTATTTATTCAATTGAGCAAAAAAGAAATAAGCAATACTACACTAAACTATTTATTCACCTAAATAGATGATTATCTACTAACCCTACTATTCTATATAACTCTCCTTTCCACCAGAAAACATAAGCAAGAAAAGAAAAAGAAATCAGACATATTTTAACAAAATGCAAATATGTGAGAAGTTAATTGATGATGTCAAAAAGATGATCAGCAAATCCAATAACTAACATTCACCTGGAATCAGAAAATATAAAAAATAACCTCCTCTATCAAGATTAAGAACACCAATTCCCAAGATCGCATACAATAACCTAATATATCAAGATTTTCAACATCAATAACCTACTCTATTAGGTAAGAGGGA